TGCAAAAAAATAAATGTTTCAGAAAAAGAACTGTACACAGTATAGAATGCAATATAAATATAAGATATAGATATTAACAAAAGGTGCATTATTAGCCTTTGTCTTTTTTTCTTCTTCGGCTTCTTTTTTTTCTGCATGCTTACTTGTTCTTTTTCCTCTTTCTTTTCTTCTGCTCAGCGTGATTCTATGTTCTTTTCTTCTGCCTCTTCTTTTGGTGTGACAGAATTCATTTGGAGGCGATGTAGCTTGCTCGGTGTGCTATATTGAAGTTGCTTCTTGTTGTTGTTTGTGTGGTGGTGATGTTGTGAGCTAGCAGCCGTTTATTTTCGGAAGAATGTGGCGCCACGTGGTGGCTGAGTTTAGCCAGCCCCGTAAATTATCTTCGGCTTTTCTCCTATAATGCTTCCCGTTTGCCGGGCGGGGCGGCCGTCAGGACCACTTCGGGCGACGCGGTGCAGCTGATGGAGCACTCGTTGGACGGCAACCTGCTGAACAACGCCGTCCGGCTGCGCTTCGCCCACTGCCAGGTGATGCCCGGGGGCGTGGCCGTGGCTGAGACCCCCAACAACGTGGTGGTCCTCGTCGCCACCAATCAGAGCGTCCACAGGATGCTGCTGCCGCACCCCAAGCGCATGTATCGCAGCGTAAGTCCTCTTATTGTTTCCTCACGGCCGACATGACATGCCGCACTCGCGTGTTTCGGTGTTAACGCCCTACGCGCGTCTTCCACTTGTTCTTGTTCAGGACGTTGTGACGGAGCTTCACTTGCAGTCGGTGTTGACGGACGTGGGCAAGCTGAACTTGGAGGACGCGTGTCACGGCGCCGCCATCCCCGCCGCATTCTCCCCCGCCGGCGGCGCCGCGGGAGTGAGCGCCGTGTGGCTCACGCAGCACGGAGACGCCAACTACGCCTTAGCCTCGCCCGCGGGGGGCGTCGTGGTCGTCACCCTGCCCGCGCATGCGGCGCAAGGTGCGGCGTGCACGCCACCTGATGGCCACGGTGCGCTGACGTCTTGGTGTATACGCGTGTGTCACTTTGGTTGTCGGCGTGTCTCAACGTGCGCACAGGCGAGGCCTTTGTGACGGAACTGAAGACGAGCTGGATGATGCGTCGTCTGTCGGTGTGGATCCCGAGCGCCATGCGCGGCGAGCAGAGCGCGTGGGACGGTGTGGCGAGCGTCGCGGCGCGAGAGCTGGACGACGACTCGCTGGTCTTGGCCGTGTGTCTGGACCACAAACTGCGCGTGTGGTCACTTCGGGTGAGACGGCAACACACGCAAACGGCCGCGCGCAGGAGCAAATCATTTGGGTGCGTGTTCAGGATCAGGCGTGCCTGCTGGAGGCGGACATGTTGGACTACATGCCGCTGGTGTGGAAAGGCGCCGGGCGGTGTTCGGGCACGGGCCACCGCGTGCGCTTGACCTCTTGCGCGGCCTCCGGCCTGTGCCTGGCCGTGTACCTGGCGGCGCCCCACATGGGCCAGTTTGTGGTACTGCAGCTGCTGGCCGACGACAACAACCGCTACAGCCTGGAGCACATCTCCTCGCTCTTCTGTGCTCAGGTAAGTGGAAGCTTCGTACATGAGCGTCTCCCAAAAGTGAACGGCCGCAATGTTTGGCCGCAGGAGACGCCGGTGGACTTCGCGCTGACCGCCAGCGACGTTTGGGCCCTGTGGCTGGACGAAGACAACAACGCCGTCGTCAAATGCATCAACTTTGAGCAGTCAGTCGAAAATTGCGCTACGGCGCTCGCTCCTC